CTCACGGTCGGCGGCATAGCGGGAAGAGGAGGCCGAGGACTGAAACGGAGAAGGATGAGCCAATGATGCTGCACACCATATGCGTGCCCGATCCATAGGACTGACTCCCTGGAAACCAGCTTCAGAACCTACACCGAACAATACCGCTCGACGCGGTCCGGTGAAGGGCGCGGCATTGAGCGGTGCTGAGCGGATATGCGAGGTGTTGACCGGTGTTGCGCGATGTTGCGCGGTTGTGTGCGGCGGTCTTGCCCGTGCGGGATATGAATTAGAAACAATTGAGGCCCGTGTGATCGAACACGCAAGCCATCCCATCTTAAGACCCATCCCCGAGTCCTTGTCAGCAGGCCACGGAGCCTCCCCAATGATGTTGTCCCAAGGGGCTCACATGCTTCCAACCCCTACAGAACACCCATGTGTTCTGTAGTCTCGCCTGGTCGCTTCCGATGGGTTCTTGAGGCTTCATGACGGCCACCACCTGGCCCGAAAGTGCACCAAAAAAGGCCCAAGGAAGCCCAAGACGGCCCAATGAGCGCCCAAGAGCGCCCGCCCTAGGAGGGCCCCAAGACCCAAGAGACAGCGCGTCTGCCTCCGATGGGGGGGCGCAATGAAGACCCCCCACCTTGTTTTGCTCGGTGACCCCCAAGCTGGCTCCAAGAGGGCATCAAGAAGGCCCCAAGAGAGCGAGGGCCCCAAGAGGGCCCCAAGAGAGCCCCAATGGCCTCCCATGAGGGACCCATGATTGCCCCAGGATGCCTGCAAGAGGCTCCCAGAGCGTGGCCGGATGCTACTATATATGCCTCATCAGGGCAACTCGCCCAGCAATGTTGAGTAATAGGGCACGTGGGGACAATTTGCTGCTCGCGAGCGGCGCGGGCAGCCGCTCGCCGTCGAACAGGTCGCAAAGCGAGAGTCACGCACAGCGCAACTGTCGCCAGCGACGCGCAGGAAAAGAAAGCCACAATGGTGGCGATAATTAACAGGCGATGCACAACGGCAACACGGCGGAGGCAGGAGCGAACAAAGACAACAGAGGGAGAAGGCGAAAGAGCAACGAGAAGAAACAATAAAAGAAAGCACGGCGGAGAGGGGGAACCGAGCCGAAGCTCAGGCTCAGACCACGCCGAAGACGAAGCCCCTTGCCGAGGAGCCGGAACTTGCAGTAGAGCGCCGCGTCAGCCGAGGCGCACGCGGGGGGGCGGCGAAGCGGCCACTGACGCGGACCGGAAGCGCAAGCGCCGTCACATCAAGCAGGCCATCTCCAGGGCCGCGGCCATCCAGGAGCCACAGGGGGGGAATGGTGGGGCGCGCCCTGGTAGCGGCGAGGTTATCCGGCTGCCGCTCTGCGCCGAGAGCGAAGTAGGGAAACGCGGGGGCGACGGGGGATGCCGCGCGCTCCGGTAGGGCGCGGCTGACAGCCGCAGAAATATTGGGAAAGGGCTCGCCAGATACAGATTGCTGCGCCGGCAATGGGCCACCCGAAGGAATTGCTGGTCAATCACACTTGGGACCACCTCCCACGCCCAGCCCGTCTCAATCACGAGTTTGACATGTGCGTTTTGGAACCAATTCTGCACGTCAATCAAATCTGAGTCACGGCATTGCAATGACTTCTGCGACGCCTTGCCCTGAACCCCTGCCCGCCTGCAAAGAGCCGCGGCGCGCCCGCGCCCGACTGCCGCGCAGCTCTCTGACCCATTCACAAGCGCTAGAAGCCCCCGCGCTCGATCCACCCGCTGCTTATTCTCAACAATGCGCTGCCAGCGGAGAGGGGGGTTGACCCCCAGCTCGGTGCGCGGAGCATTTGATAGCTGGCGCGCGTCAACCCCGCAAGCGCGGATCCTAGGTCCTAGCAGCATTGCGGTGCACATTATGCGGGCTGAGCAGAAGCCCCCCTCGATTTACCGCATGAGCGATGAAAACCTCGGCGGGGCGTGGTCCACTGCGCACGCCGACTTGCGATCGCGGAGGCACTGCATGCGCGCGTCCAACGTCTCGTTCGCCTTCGCTTCGTTCAACGTCTGCTGGAACTCCTTTTCTGAAGGCTTCGGCAAGCTGTGCCAGCGCGCCCGCGGCATACAGCGCGCGAAAGTGAGAAGCTCGAAACGTACACCTATGATGCTTTGAGCCGGAACAGCTACACAAACGACGGAGGGCAAACGCAACCACAAGGTCCAACATTGCCATCGCAGGCAAAGCGTTCCAGGCCCATCAAGTACATAATAAGTCGCATGCCCCCCCCCCCCCCCCCACACACACACACACACACCACCACCACCACCACCACCACCACCCACCCACACACTTTTATCCACAAGATCAAAGCTCATTCGCTCGAACTTTTTGACGCTTGCATGCGCAATGCAGGTTGGTCTTGAATCCACCGAACGGGCCCTGCGATGCGATGCGCGCGGTCATCCCGAGCCTCTTACTTGACGGAGGACAATTACACGGACCGACGGATGGATGGTGAAATCTTGGTTGGTCCGAACTCGAATTTCCAAATTTCGTTGTTTTGGCGTTCGTTGCCCAGTTGGTTCAAGTTTGTAATGCATCGGGAGCTACATGTTGAACACGAAAATGCATATTCTGTTCCACGACACATGTTTTTTGGGGATGAACATAAGTCGAAATCGAACGCTCTGTCAAAATCTGTGCCCAGTTAACCCACGATAAACAGCTATGTTAACATAAAGTAGATAAGTTATCACACGTAGGGAAGAAACGCCATTCTAAACCGATGTCATGCTTAGCAACCGGTATACATAGTATACAGTTGATGTTGGCGCATTAAAGCCCAGGCGGGCTTCAGCTAGATATGATGAACAAGCCAAGTAGCTATAGCAGCATGCTGCTGGCTTACAAGTGGGGCGTGTGCACACAGTAGCCACCTTGGCACCTCCTCATAAAGCTCATAAGCTCTGACAAAGCCGACATTCATCCCAGCAGGGCGTCGACCGCAGCAGACGATGACCGAAAGGACGGCGGCGGGTCGCGGAAGGGGCGCCCGTTGCAACGACCTCCGGCGAAGCACGCGCGGCCCGGCGAACGCGCCGCCGCTCCCGCCCGGCGAACGGCGGGCCCAATCGCCGCGCGCTCGGCGGTCGGTCCGCGCGCGGAACGCAGAACCTCCCTGAGACGGGAAAGACCCCTCGCCGCCGGCGCGAGTTGCCCCTGGCCAAGGCCCTTCCGTTCGCGAGCCGCGCGTGCCAATGCCTCGATACACCCCGCCTGCCAGACCGCGTCGGCAGGCCAGCGGCTCCCGCGCGTCGGGCCCGCGCCTCCCCGGCCGAGTCGAGGCCCCTCAGCGAGTCCGTCTCCACCTCGGGCAGGCGGCCCAATACATGGCATCAGCCTGCTTCAGCGCCTCTGCCAGCTTCACGTATAACCCACCCCCGTCGCGGGACCTCCGACCCCGCCGTGGCCACCCAAGCGGGAGCAGACAACGCGCCCGACGACGCCCGCGCGAGCTCAAACCCGAATTTCTCACGACGCCGCGCTGCACATCGCGCGAACACCGCGGGCAGAACGCGCCGCGCCACGCGCGCGCGGCACAGCGGCCACCGATGAGCCATGGACACACGCCCCACGCGCGCAAAGTGCCACGCGCGGGCGGAAAGTGCCACGCCCGGGCAGACACGCGCCACGCGCGGGCAGAGCTGCGGCCACCAACGCGCCGAAGACACGCGCCACACCCGTGCACTGCGCCCCGCGAAGGGGCAGACACACGCCTCGAACGCGCGGAGCTGCGGGCCCCAAAGAGCCAGCGACACACGCCACGCGCGCACAAAGTGCCACACACGGGCAGAACGCGCCACAGAGGGGCAGCCATGCGCCACGCGCGCGGAGTTGCGGCCACCAATGAGCCAAGGACGCGCACCCCACACGTGCAAGGGGCCACCCCTGGGCAGAAAGTGCCACGGCAGGGCAGACGCGCGCCGCGCGCGCACATATGAGCCAAGGACGCACCCCTCAGACGTGCAAAATGCCACGCACGGGCTGGGCGTGCCACGAAGGGGCAGACACACGCCTCACGCGCGCGGATTCGCAGCCACGAATGAGCCAAGGATACACGCCTCACACGTGCAAAGTGCCACGCACAGGCAGAGCGCGCCTCAAAGTGGGAGACACACACTGCACACGCGGTGTTTTGCGGCCACCAGTGGGCCAATGACACACGCCTCAACACACGTCTCACACGTGCAAAGTGCCATAGACGGGCAGAACGTGCCACCAAAGGGCGGACGCACGCCTCACACACGCGGGCAGACACGCGCCTCGCACGCGCACGTCGCATCGACAAGCGCGCGACGACGCCCGCGCGCACGGTCACGGTAGGCGGCGCAATAGCTGCATCGCACGTGTCCCTCGCCGAGCGCGACGGGGCACCCGCCCAGCCGAGCGCGCGCGGCGCCCCATCCCAACCCTGGGCGGCGCACGAGCCCCCTCGCGCGCTCGCCCATGCGAGCGGGGCGGACTGCGCGACGCCCATCGCTTGGGCTCGCGTCGCCCCGCGCCGCTGCGCGTCGCGCGGCGCCACCCCCCGTTCGCCCAGGCTTTGGGGCTGGGGCGGGGGCGCCCGCCCCGCTGTTTCGCGACCGCGATCGACGTTGCAGGATGACCGCCCGCGACAACAATGTTTTATGTCCTGCCGCTTCGCTTCCGACGGCCTTCCGGGGACTCAGGATGGCCCCATAGATGGCCCCAGAGGGCCCCAAGACGGGGTCAAGAGGCCTTCAAGACAGCCCTAGGAGCGCCGAACAGCGCTCCAGGGGCGCCCCAAGAGCGCCCCAAGTGGCGAGTTTAAGCACTCTAGAAAGGCAAGACGAATTGAAGCTCCGATCTCATTTGATCGACGTCTGCCAAGAAGGCTCCAAGAGCGGCCCCACAGCTCCCAAGAGAGCCCCAAGAGGGCCTCAAAAGGCGCCCAGACGGCCCCAAATGACGCCCAAGGGGCCTCAAACACGCCCCCAAGAGACCCCCCAAGACTCTCGGGGGCC